ATTATTCTAAAATCATTTTTCATCCTATTATATCGAATTTTTTTCTCCCTATAATTCTTTAGGCTAAAAAAACAGTTTGTGGGGTTCCAGAAAATTTTATATGACGCGTGTCCATCGAATATTGGATCGTGGCGGTAACAATGAAGGTACGCGCGTAAAGGAAACAGTTCCGAACACCGATGTCTTGATGTCTTGTGGTTGGACTTGGAGGAGCTGTTGTCTTCTCTATCCCGCCCCCACCCCCCAACCCGAAGTCGGAATTCCTTCAGCTTCGGAAAAAATCAGAAACAAATCCAATTTAAACAAAATTAAACCTTTTTTTAATATCCAATAAAGCCACAAAATCTACTTCAATAATTTTTCTTTTTAATTTTATTTACCCCTAATTTTGATCTGTTCTTTACCACTTTTCACTCCAGGGTTTCGTTAACTGTGCAGCTTTCTGGTCTTAGGAAAGATCACTCACCTCTTTCACCCCTAATAATTGTTGTTTCTTACCCCCCCCTTTTTTTTTTTGGTGTTTAGGGGAAATTCATTCTTCTGTTCTTTTTCAGAGATTCTTGATAAAACCCCCATTGTTTGTTGTTGTTGTTGTTGTTGTTGGTTTTTCTTTTTTTATCATCAACATGCGATCGGAGCACAACAATGGTGTTAATCCACTGAAGCGAAGCTTCAGTCAGATGAGCTCAGACCCACCTGATGCCATGGCAGTGGACAACAATGATCTCTTTGAGAAAGACCCTTCTTCACCTCCTTGTTCAAATCCCAAGGACTTGGTCCCAAGAGGGTTAGTCCTTTTCCTTCTTTATCTTTTACTTTATCCTCTGTTTTCTTTTAAAAATTGAGTCTGGGAATTTAGCGTTGGTTTGGAAATGTGAGGTTGAGAAGCAAGTATGTAAAGGGTTTTGTGTTGAGTTGGAATGCAGGTATCAATTGAGGGTATATGAGGTTGCTAAGAAGAGGAATACAATAGCAGTACTGGATACAGGTGGGGGGAAGACAATGATAGCTGTGATGTTGATCAAGGATGTTGCTCAAGCTGTAAAGTCTAGTGGAAATAAAAAGTTAATTATTTTCTTGGCACCCACCGTTCATCTTGTTCACCAGGCAAGTTCTTTCTATTTATTCTGTGTCTCTCTTTTAATTTATGTTATACTGTGGCATCACTCATAAAGTTGTAATGTTCCATTATATTATTCTGTTACCAATTTGTTTTTTGGTATGGTGTGCAATGTGGATGATTGCATGTCCTGAAAATAAGGGGGATTTGTTTCTTGCAGCAATTTGATTATATAAAGCTTCATACAAATTTGGAAGTTGAGCAGTACTTTGGAGCCAGGGGAATTGATGGATGGAACCTAAGTTGCTGGGAGAAAGAAATAAGGGAGCATGAGGTGAGTATGCTTTTGAAAGAGCTCCCAAAGAACGATATTCTGTGGACTGAAGAAATTAAGGATAATGCTTTCTATTCTGTTTTCGACAATTTCTGTTTGGTTGAAATGTGCTGTAGAAACCTCACCCTGGACTTTTTCCATCAAGATATGATCTTGATGTTGTTCATTTCTGTTAATTTGGATTTTAATCTAAGAACTCATACCCAAAGCATATCTTTTTATTACCGCCCCTTTGGAATGTGCATCTATTTGATAAATATATTGTTCTCTAGAATAAAGATTTTTCTTTGCTCTACATTCTGTAGGTTATGGTCATGACACCCCAGGTTCTACTGGATGCCTTGAGAAAAGCATTTTTGAGTCTAAAGATGGTATGCTTAATCATAATAGATGAGTGCCATCATGCTACAGGAAATCATCCTTATGCAAAAATAATGAAGGTCAATATTAATTTTTTCCAGACCAGTTTGTTTCCTGTTTGTGTCTTCTTTCATACTTCATTTACTTGTTTTATGAGTTAGAAAATATCTTAATGTGCAATTGGTTTGGTGAAGGAATTTTATCATAAATGTATTAACAAGCCAAAGATTTTTGGAATGACAGCATCACCGGTGGTTAGAAAAGGTAAGATTAAGTCTTTTTCTGCGATACTTAATTGGCTGTGCTGCTGTGGTAGGTAGTGCTATGCGCTATATCAACAACATGATTTTCTTTATAATTTTTGATGTACTAGATGCTGAATTTTTCTTCTAAGCTTCCATGCTGTTTTGAACTCATTTCTTATTCTGAAAAGTAAGTCCTGGTTTTTGGTTATTCTTGTTCTTTCTCAACTCATTCTGGATCATTGGTTTAAAAGAAATTTGAAATTTAGACCGTTGCTTGTGCTGGAGTCATAATGTTTCAAGTTTTACCTTTCCTTTTTTACTTATTTCCACATTGTATCAATTTTTTCTTTTGTAACATACCTTTGCACCCAGGTGTCTCATCAGCCATGGATTGTGAGGGTCAAATATCCGAACTTGAAAGCATTTTGGATAGCCTGGTATTGTGTGTGTGTGTTTTTTGGGAAGATTACTCTGGAATGACGTCAGATGAAAATTAATGCAAAAATATCTTGAATCTCTGCTGCTGCAGATTTGTACTATTGAAGATAGAAAAGAGATGGAAGCTCATGTTCCATCTGCAAAAGAATATTGTAGATTTTATAATCCAGTAGTATTTTCAAGTTTGGATTTGAAAGAAAAGATAGAAGCCTCATGGTTCAAGGTATTCATCACCATATGCACTTCTGCAACAGAATATTTTTACGTTTGCCTTTGCATGCTTTACTTGCTGGATATTAATGAATTTTCTTTTTGGTGGACAGTTTGATTCTTTATTGCAAGCATCAGTGCAAGAAATGGATGATAAACTTAAGAAACTGCAACAGCGATTATCCAACGACCATGCTAAGATTTTGCATTGCCTTGACAGTCTGGGCCTCATATGTGCTTCTGAGGTATGGTAATAATCTCATTAAGTTTAAACTTGAGAGGAAAGGGAAATAACTGTTCAATGGAAAAGTGTGATGTATATTTCATGCATTCATGTTCATTCCTTTTTTTGTCTCATAGTCATGTTCATCCCCTACAATACTAGATTTAAGCAGCCATTTTACCTTTGATTTGCAGAGATAGATGCATCACTCTGATGTCCAACGAAGTAACAAGATAAAATAAGTGGTTTTTTTATTAGGTTTCTTGATCTTCCCTATAAACATCAGCTGTCCCATGTTTTTTTACTTGTGATTGTGATTTAAGGTTTCTTGTTCTGTAGGCTATTAAAGTGTGTCTAGAGAATGCCCCCGACACCACAGATGAGTGTGAAACTTACAGAAAAAGTTCATTACTGTGTAAAAATTTCCTTGAGGAAGTGCTACATGTGATTGGTGAATCTCTGCCTCTTGGTATGGTACCTTTAGCTTTTATATCACTCCCTTTGTCTTAAAATAACTACCCTTTTTTAACTTTTGAGTTTATCCCAAATTAAATATCATTTTTTTATTTTTTAAGATAGACAAATATTTTTTTCCTTAGTTTAACCCTATCATTATCCAGATATTTTGATTAATTATCCTATCACAAAAGTCTAACTTTATCTTTTAGCATTTTCCTAAGGGTAATACAAGTAAACACATGAATTGTCTCCAAATCCTTAATTTAGAGAAAAAAGTTTTAAAAAAAAAAAAATTAGTTATTGTGGGACAAAGGGAGTAATCCTCTATCCACTTTCATTCTTTCATATGTTGTTATTATCTTATCACAATTGATTTTAATGAATTTGCTTTTAATAAAACTAAACTCTTTTACCATGTTCTTCGACATTCATTAAATTTAAAAATAATGTTGTGAAGTTTCTTTTTGTGGGACTTTACCTATTAGCGGAAACCAGGAAGTAATGCCTCTTTTCAGTTCTATTCAAATCAAGTACACTTTTGAGTTAGGTAATGCTTATGAAATCCTCGTCACTAATGTTTTCTGCTACTCCTCTTAGCAGGTGATCATAATTTTTTGGATTCTGAGGTCAACTACTTAAATGCAGTTCCTATGGGCTATATATCTCCGAAATTATTTGAACTTATTCAACTTTTTCAGTCATTTGGGTAATAGAAAATTTACTAGTTAGATTTATTTGATATCTTTATTTATGTATCAGCAAATCATTTTCTAATCTCATAACAATTCTAATTTACTCTTTGTGGTTGCAGAGAAGATTGCCAAGTATTATGCCTCATTTTTGTTGAAAGAATTGTTACTGCCAAAGTAATTGAAAGATTTCTGAAGAAAGTACACTGTTTATCGCATTTCACAGTTTCATATTTGACTGGAAGTAGTACATCAGTTGATGCTCTGGCACCAAAAATGCAGAAGGAAACATTGGAGTCATTTCGTTCTGGAAAGGTACTGGTCTTGTATCTCACAGATTAATCTTAAGATGTTTCAAAATTCTTGTAACCATCTGGTAAATTCCTCCTCGATAGGTCAATCTGTTATTTGCAACTGATGTACTTGAGGAGGGTATTGATGTTCCGAGCTGCTCTTATGTTGTACGTTTTGACCTGCCCAAAACAGTCCAGAGTTATATCCAATCTAGAGGACGGGCTCGGCAGAATAATTCCCAGTTTGTGACGATGCTTGAGAGGTGTGACCCAGTCCTTGTCAAACTGGAATATTGTGTACCCCTTTTTACATTAAGATTTCATTTCCTCAATATTTTCCTGGTATGTGATGTAACAACACACTCCAATTCCACATGTTGGCAGGGGAAATGTGGAACAGAGAGATCAGATGTTTAAGATTATCAGGAGTGAGTATTTGATGATTAACACATCTGTAAATAGAGACACCAACACAAGTCTTCCTAAGGCATGTAACATTGAGGAAACAAACTCATATGTTGTAGATGCCACAGGAGCTTCTGTTACTGCAGATTCTAGCGTTGGCCTCATAAAACAATATTGTGAAAAGCTCCCTAATGATGAGTAAGGATATTTTTCATTTTTTGTAAATCTCTAAGTATGGTTCTGCACATTTGATATCAATAGCTTTTGTTGTCAATCACTAATTGATCACTTTGTGATGTAGGTCCTATACACCAAAGCCGAGTTTTCATTTGTCAATTTCAGAAGGGCTACTAGACAATCATCTTCTCCCATTAGTTGAAATGCCTTCCAAAGATGATAATAACATGACAAGCAAAGATTCTGATTCAGGTGCAGGTATTCACAAATGACAATAGCAAGCCTAATTGTTATTAATCTATTTATTCATTTTTGTGACCGTTTGTTTGAAATGTTATTTTGTGTCTTTTGTATCTTTTGTATTTTTCACAAACTAAGTAATTATCTTCCTGCTTTTCATTGTCCTCTTAAATTTTACTTAACAAAGGAACAACAAAAAGGAAGGAACTACATGGGACAACTCAACTTCGTGCATTGTCTGGAAGTTGGGCCGGTAAACTTGACAGTACCATTTTCCACGCCTACAAATTTGACTTTTACTGCAACATTGTTACCGAGGTTTATTCTGGATTTGTTCTTCTGCTTGAGTCGAAGCTTGATGATGATGTGGGAAACCTGGAATTGAATCTTTACTTGGTCTCAAAGATGGTTAAGACATCTGTTTCTTCATGTGGCTATGTGCAATTGGATGCCGAACAGGTATGAACATAAGCTTATAAAAAACCTAAGTTGCTTCTCTATGTAAAGTACTTATTTGATGCCATTATTTTAACTTTCTTCATTTCTCCAGATGATGAAAGCAAGGTGCTTTCAGGAATTTCTCTTTAATGGCTTGTTTGGGAGGTTATTTGTTCGGTCAAAGTCATCTGAACTTCGAGAGTTTCTTCTGCAGAATGACACAAGCTCTTTATGGAGTGCCTCAAACATGTATTTGCTTCTACCACTTGAGAGTTCTCCCACTGATCAATGGAAAATAAATTGGATGGCTATCAATGCTTGTTGTTTTGCAACAGAATTTTTAAAGAGAAATTCATTATTGAATTCTGAAAGGCATGATGGTAATGGGGACAATAAATCACCCAGTAAAACCTTTTTGCACGAGACAGACTGCAAGGTGGAAAATGTGATCCACTTCGCTAATGAATCAGTTGATAGAAATATACTCAAAAACATGGTAGTACTCGCTGTTCACACTGGAAGAATTTACTCTATCCTTGAATTATTGAATGACACATCTGCTGAGAGTCCTTTTGATGGTAATGATGATGCTGCCCAACCTGAGTATGCCAGCTTTGCTGAGTACTTCAACAAAAAGTATGTGATCTGTGATCTTAGTTTATGCTTATGTGCTTCTGGATAACAATTTACAGTTCCAAAGATAACATTATCTTTGTATAGGTACCAGATTGTGTTGAGGTACCCGGGACAACCTTTACTTCTGTTAAAGCAGAGTCATAACCCACACAACCTTCTTGTGAGTTTTTGTGATGAAGGTTTGTTAAATCTTGATCATAGAATCTGATTTAGCAATTTTCTGTACTTGATGGATATGTTAATTTTAATACTCTCTCAAAAATGAGCAGGTGCTTATTCTAAGGCACGCTTTCGTGCTTATATGCCACCTGAGCTTTTGTTGAGGATTGATGTGCCGATTAGTGTTCTAAAATCAATGTACTTACTACCATCCTTGATGCACCGTATTGAGACACTAATGTCAGCCAGCCAACTAAGAGAAGAGATTAATTGTGGTTCAAACAAGTTCAATATATCAAGCTCGTTGGTTTGTCCATTTTTATGAATCATTTTTCTATATTCATCCATTCTTTTATCGGAACATTGTATCTAATAATTAGTTTTTTTCCTTTTTTGGCAATTAGATTCTTGAAGCGCTTACAACACTTAGATGTTGTGAAAGTTTTTCTATGGAGAGACTGGAACTACTTGGGGATTCTGTCCTAAAATATGCTGTGGGCTGCCATCTTTTTCTTAGATATCACGAGAAAAATGAAGGGCAACTCTCTGCACAGCGTTCATTGGCTGTTCGCAATTCAACCCTGTATAAATTGGGAACAGACCGTAAATTACAGGTACCATCAACATTTTAGACATGAAAATTCCTCTTATATTAGCCAATTTCTAGTTTGTCAAATAATATATATTATGCTCATAAAGACAAACGTTAATGGAATTATGCTCATTTGTGTTTCTTGTTTGACAGTTATATATACGAGATGGTGCATTCGATCCCCGTCGTTGGGCTGCTCCAGGGCAGCAATCTTTACGGCCAGTTCCTTGTGAGTGTGGGGTGGACACTTTAGAAGTTCCTCCAGATCCAAAATTTCAAACTGAAGACCCAAAAATTAAGGTAGGGAAATGCTGTGATCGGGGTCACAGATGGATGGGATCAAAAACTATATCAGACTGTCTAGAAGCCCTAGTAGGTGCATACTACGTTGATGGTGGACTGCCAGCTGCACTTCATGTGATGAAGTGGCTGGGTATTGATGCAGAACTTGATCCTGCATTAGTAGTTGAAGCCATTAATCGTGCATCTGTGCAATCTTATGCCCTCCAAACCAATGAAATCAACATTTTAGAGTCAAAGCTTGGGTACAATTTTTCTATTAAGTTTTTCCTACAAGAGGCAATTACACATACATCGCTTCATGAATCCTTCTGTTACCAGGTACAACAGAAGTTCTCTGCTAATTGGACTTGATTTTTTGTGATTAACTTTTAAATGCTTAATTATCTGTAACTTATTTGTTTTGTAGACTAAACTTGCATATGATCTCTCCTTTTTCACTTCTTGGTTTTTCTTTTGACAGAGGCTTGAATTCCTTGGTGATTCTGTATTGGACTTGCTTATCACCCGATATCTCTACCAGAAACACACGGATATAGATCCGGGGGAGCTGACTGACTTGCGCTCAGCATCAGTTAATAATGATAATTTTGCCCAAGTTGCTGTGCGCCATGACCTTTATAAGCATCTTCAACACTCTTCCACCAAACTAGTTAATCAAATAGAAGAATACATAAAGTCCTTCAACTCTTGTAACACCCCCAGCTCTGGTCCCGACCTGAAAAGTCCTAAGGTAAGTTACTAACCTTGGTATTCATGCAGAATTATCCATGACTCATTTGTTCATGGTTATGATATATTTAAATTGTCCATACATTCTCTTCTCCAGGCTCTTGGAGACCTGGTTGAAAGTATTGCCGGAGCAATTTTGGTTGATAGCAAGCTTAATCTTGATGAAGTTTGGAGAATATTTGAACCACTTTTATCTCCAATTGTAACCCCTGATAAACTCGTGCTCCCTCCACATCGGGAGCTTATTGAGTTATGTGATTCTCTTGGATACTTTATCAAAGAAAACTGTATAACTAAGGGGGAAATGGTGCATGCCGAGCTTAGGTTACAGCTTGATGATGTCTCTTTGGTAGGAGAAGGACATGATCAAAACAGAAAGGCTGCAAAAGGAAAAGCAGCTTCATGTCTCCTGAAGAAACTTGAGGTACGTTCCAGAAATGCTTATCTTGAATTATATAATGTTTCATCTCCACATAAGCTAACATTGAAACTTGTAATGCAAACAGGAAAGAGGAATCAAGAGGAGGAAACAGGGTCCCAATAATTGTTCTAACTCAAATCAAACAACTGATGATGACTCAATACAACCAGTGAGCCAGAAAAAGCAAAAGAAAACCGGAATCCAATTGCCTGCACAATCAACTGAAGCTCTTCCCGTTGCAGATGATTCTTCTAACAAAGCATGTAGTCACAATGACATCCCAGGTTTGCACCATCTTGTTATCTCTCTTCTGCATTTCCTCCTAATTGATAACAGACTCAAGTCTGCTGAGACTAGCAAGGAGATAACTTTCTACATATTCTTGCCAAGCATTCAATGATTTCCTACACAGAATTCTCGAACATGAAAACCCCTCCACCTTCTACTATATTTAGGCTTATTTTTTGAAGTTTAGATGAACTATTGTGATTAAGATTGCTCTTGATATTTTTTCCCCTCCATAGTTATCCCAGCAATCAGCACCAAGAAAGGAGGACCTAGAACCTGCCTTTATGAGCTTTGTAGGAGACAGCAGTGGCCGATGCCTACCTTCACAACAGCAGAAAATAAATATCGGTATCTCTCCTTTTTCCTGTTCTAGTGTTTAAGATAATTCTCCTCAACGTCCAATATATTTATCCACAATCCTTACTAAAGTCACAATCTATATAGTTACCTACTGCAATATAGTTCTTTATGTTTGTTTGATTTTTGCTGCTGCAGAGCTCAAATGGAGTTTGGAGCAGGTGCTGAAAAAAGGAAGGGTTTTATTGGTTTTACATCGAAAATTACCTTGCGTGTACCAAACTCCGGCGTTATTGAGTGTGAGGGAGATGAGAATGCTGATAAGAAGAGCTCGTGTGACTCTGCTGCATATGTCATGCTTCATGAACTCCAACAACGAGGTCAGCTCATCATTGGTGAGTGAATACTAGCAAGCCGTCCATTTCCTGGGTAATTTTCTGACAAAAAACTGCTAGGCAAATTTCTAACCTTGCCTTGAGATTGTTTACTAAATGTACATCTCCGTTCAAGCATTGCATTTGTTCTTGCGCTAGTTTGGATTGAGAAACAGATTTGGATCATTGTATATTTTTTCTGTCAATTTTCTATAAATAATAATGCAATTCATAGGGTTACAGAAATGTCTTCTTTCTGAAACTTGATAATATGCAAGTGAAGATTCAACATTCATGCAAGTCTGTTAGCTTCTGACTTGAGGCTTCTCTGGGATGCCAATGAAGTAATTCCTCGTGAATTCCCTAGTTTTGATGTGGATGACCTGCCTTAGAACGGACTTGGAGGAATCCATGGTGCTCACAAACTGGACTAGAGACATTGACTATTAAATCCAAAAAAAGACTAAAAAGACTTCTGGCTTGAGGCACAATGGTGCATTCTAAACATCCTGGCATCACTGCATCCAATTTGCAGATGATGGTACATCATGCTCTAATCAAGAGCTCGTATACGTTACTACTGTTATCTCCACTAATACGCTTCAACATCTCGAAACTCTTACGACTTCCTACGAATTCAACTCGTTTGAAAATCATGTCTGCTGTCTCTTTACTAGCATACGCTGCTCGAAGCCTGTCAGCATGCCTTGAATCGGTGTGTATGGCAGCTTCTATTTCTTGAGCAGACATGTTTTCCTGCAAAATAGCAGCAATGGAAAAGAGATCACTTTCATGTTTGGTGTATTTTTTTATCAAGCCATATTAACAACCTAGTCAAGACCCCGTAGAGAATGCGATTAATTAATAATATTGTGAAGTAACCTCAGCATCATACCTGGTAAAAAGCATAGATGTAATTCAACACCTGCAAACATGTAAACCCATCATCGCTGAAATATGTCCTTGAGGAAGGACCCATCTCAGAGAAACGGTCAACTGGAAATAGTATGGTAAGAAAGTGGTTTTTGAATATCAATTCCTTCTTCTCACTGCAAACAAGTCAAATGCAAAAGAATGATTCAAGGCAACAAAGCAGTTAGGGAGAAAATACAAGGATCACATATGCTGCTTGAAGCTCTCTCCATTCTACAGCAAGAGAACAAATATATTGACAGGTTCTATGCGGAATAGATATTGTGGATTGTAACCAATGGATATTGAGTGTGATTTGCTACCTTTCTGTAAGGGGACGTGTTAAGTTTGTAAATGAGACTACTGAATCCTTGCCATCATCTTTTGCATCAAAGAATATAGATTGATGTTCACTAGCATCTTCACCACTGAGAGAGTCTGTGTAAATGGATGCAGTTGAAGTTGGCTCAGATATTGACCAGCAAATGGAGTCCAGAAGGGTGCTTGGGGTTATTGGACGAATTGGGGTCTGACAAGTCTGAATGGAAAACAGAAGGCACAAAGAAATGTATACTACATATTATTATCATGAAGCATAGAGCAAAAGTAATAGTACAACAGATAACCAACTTGCCTGCATACGACGACCACGGCGATTTCTAATCCTGATTTTAGCATAATGTACAATCTGTTGCCTTTCCTCATGACTTGCATTACTTCTGAAGCCCTGAGAATCCTGAGAAGCATTTCCCTTACTAACTTCCTATAAAAGAAGGAAAAAAAATCATATATATGTATATATAAAGCATAAATCCTATGCATAAAACAGTGCAAGTATCAGATGATTATAATCATCACCCATTTTGCCTTAAAAATCATAGTTTTTCTTCATACATTGTTTCATACAAACAGGTGAAATTAGTACAAAAACAGAAACATAAAAAGGCACCAATCTCATAAATCTGAAAATGAAATATTGGAGAGTACCTTTCCAATGCCGCTGTTCTGAGAATTTTCTAACAGTGTACCGATTTGCCTTGCCAAATCAGCTGACATGTGAAGAAGCTTCTGAACAAACTTCTCCTTCGCTGTTTTTAGTATCCATAGTGGCTGAAAAACACCGAATATCAGATGAAATCCATTTCATAGATGCCATCCAACAGAGTATCAATTATCTTTTTCTGAATGCTGTTCGTGTTGAGGAGATTCCATCATTATGAACTGTCTGAAGTTAGATGTAACAAGGATGTTAGAAGACTCACTGTAACAAGGTTGTTTGAGTGGCCTATATATCGATGGACAGAAGTCCCTTCGCACACCACATGACTCGCATTGCAACCAACAAACAATCGATCTAAAATTGTGGCACCTTCTTTGATAGCCGCTTCAATAACCTGTCAATGTATTAAATGTCTCAGAGAACTCATAAAACAATCAAAGAGAAGCTAACCTAGGATATATAAGGAGTTATACATTGACTCATCAAAATTTGATACATAAATAACACAAGTAGGACTTCCATTGGAATGCAACGTAGTTTAAATCAATATAAAAATGAAAAAACTAACTTTTAGAACAAAAATGAACTCTACCTTATTCCTGAGTTCATTTGAAATGTCTGAATCTATGTACATGGTATGACCAGATAGGGTTAACCCCAGACTTCTATTAGAGTCTCCTCCGACAGAACAAAGATGTGGTTTCTCTATCGTGTCAAATTTTATAGCTTCATGAAAGCCAGCAGGAAGACATGATTTTTCAGCAGAAAAACCAGCAAGCCGTTTCAACTCATCCATGCGTTTGCTATTTTCTCCAACACTCTTTACAGTGTAAAGTGATTCACTCAACCTTACTACAATAGAGGAGAAAAAGAAAGAGAAATTAGATGGAAAGTGCATAAGATACAACATGTTAGAGAAATAATAACGCTCTATTTTCCCTAAACCACCTTAAAAGTCCCACTCTTCAGTAACTGCCACTTAGGCAGACTCGAACATATTAGTTCTCAATTAAACACTCTTCTGACAATTTGGAATGAAAAATAAGTTGGAGGTTCCATGAATAGTTAAGAAGCACATCTACATGCCAATGGCAGCTCTTTTGCAGAATGTATCAGTGGAAAAACATGCTAATTGAAGGCAGCATTCCTGGTTTACTAGTTGGTAGCCTAAGTTATGCCTATCTTACTTGGGGACTCGTGATCACATTCCAGAATTTACTACTTAGTAAACATGTACGAATAATTAATCATTAGAGCAAAGACTGGAAAAAGATTAATCTGTGAGTTTGAAAATTAAACAAGGGGCAACAGCATCAAACCAAAATAAATTAATATAGCAATAACACTTATCACATCTAGGCAGTATGACGTAAAAAGTGGCCTGCTCTTACCATTCCTCTTGACACTATCCACAAACCAGCCAAGTGTGACAACAAAGAGACCACTTCTTGCTCCATGCTTCAAAGCGTGCTCAAACTTGCGTCCACTAAGGCTGTAAATAAAAGTTAAGGCCTTGAGGGTCTAGTTTTTATCCTCAAACTCGGTTTCTTTCTTTAAGCCAACCAATAGGGAAAAATGTGAAATGGAACAGATTAGATAAGTCTTGCCAATCCCATTAGTTTTAATCAAAATTTGATTAACTGACTAAGCAGGGTAATATGATTTAGATATTCTATTCCTTTACATGTACATTTTAATAATTAATCGACCGGGGGAAACTCTAAAGAAAGAAACCACCTTTCATCCACAATCACCAAAATATCATACTAAGCGACAAATAAGATAATCTATGAATTTTAAAGCTAAAATAGTAATGATAAAGGATATCTGGACCACCAAGTGAGTACATTGAGGATGTAAACTAGGGTTGTATTGACCTCCTAATCTTTCCGTGGCTTCCTTTACTTGTTTCCTTGCTTCTGAAAAAAGGAAAAGCAAATATGAATATCTACATATTTAGCTCCTTAATATGCAAGTATAAGCTTTGAAATTGAAAATGAATTCATGGCAAAGCAAGCTCTGTTAAGGCAAAGAGTCTAGCTTATGCAAATGAAATCACCTTACAACTTCCCAGAAAGCAATAAAGGATTAAAGGGTACAAAAGATGATCAACATATCAAACCAAAAAGATAAGAAACGAAAAGAGAATCCATTTGAATACGGGAGAACACAACATACCTTTAGATAGACCTGTAACGCATATGGAAAGGCCAGAAAATGGACCTGTAGATCGAACCAACGACTCGGACCCAACAGAGGAAGACGCTGCCGGAGACATTAAATCAAAAGACTTCAATCCTCTGAAAGAAGGCACAGAAGATGGAAACCCAACAAACAGCCTGGAACACCCTTTGCTGTCGATCACCTCAACTCTGCCAACACCACCCATCTTCACCACAGTTTTCTCTGTTCTGAATGAACAAGACAAAATTTTCCAGAAAAATACTCAACCATTCTTCAACATTTAAATCAAGAACAGAGAAAACACCACAAAGGGTATGTGAGAAACAGAGAAAGTGTTATGGGATAAAAACCAACGGTACCCAGGAATGATTCAAGCAATTCAAATTGAATTATGAAGACAGGGGAAGGGAATATGAATCTATATGGTAAAAGAAAAAGGAATCAAAAATGGGAATCAGAGATTGGAGACAAATTGAGAATTAAGGAGCGTAAAAAGTATGAGAAAAAAGTGAGAAATTTTTTTGAAGGAAGTGCTCTGTGTCTCTTCTCTGGCAAAATGCGTACTGAGACTCTGGTCTTTGCTTTATTGGGTTCAAAAGAGAACTCTCCACCATTCAAAGTTGCAAGGCAGGGAGGCAAAAGCCAAGCACGGGCAATTTTAACTTTTTTTCTTTTTTCTCTTTTTCCCTCTGAAAATCTGTTACCTAACATGGGTACTTGAATTTGGAAATTTTTCAAACTTGCCATTCCCAAATGCCTAATATAAAAAATAAAAATTTAATTTTAACACATAAATTTTACACATTATATTTATATAAAATTTTAATTATTTAATTATTTTTTTTAATAATTAAAATTTATCATAATTTTTTTAAATAAAAAATAATTATTTTTAATAAAAATAAATAAATCTTAACAATTAAAAGTAAAAAGATAAATGATTGAAATTTTATATAAATATAATATGTAAAACTCAAGTGTGTAAGTGGATCTTCAACGCAACAACAAAATTCTTTTATTTTTTAATATTTAAATAAAATAAAGAAAAGTAAAAATTAGAGTATTTTAGTACTTTAAATACCAATATTTTTCATGAAATTATTTAAATATCTTAATAAATCTTTTTTATGTATTAATTTATTAGGAACATTTTAATTTTTTTGTTATCTTTCTTAATATTTTAATTATCAAAATATGCTAATTTTTATGAGCACTTATAATCTTCCCCGTGTGTTTTAACCGGTTATAACCCAATTTTAGGTGGACTATCAAATTTTAACCTTATATAAAGAAGAAAAAAAAAGATGCGGTAGATCAAGAGTATCACATTTAAACAGTAAAACATCAATTATCTTCTTATCAAATTGCCAATGACATGAGTTTGAGTTCGCGTTTGAATTCGAGTCACATAACATGCGAATAGAGTAGAATAAGAGATGATAAAGTATTGTCTCTCATTGTGTAACTAATATAAAAAAATTTACTAACAATTTAAATAATTCAATGATTATTTTTTTGAAATAAAAGATCATTAGTTCAAATTGTATTATATACAAATAAAGTGCGATAAAAAATATAAGAGAATTACTTTGTATTATGTAATTAAAATAAAAAAATAAATTATATAATTTAATAAAATCTTAACATGCTATAAATTAAACAACACAACAATTTTTGTTAAAAGAATTAAAGAAGACGAGGAAGTAAAGCATTGAAATGATTTAAAATAGTACTTGACTCTGATTTTGATGCACTGAATATAAGGTAGGAAGGGAAGAAGATGATTGAATATAAAATGTTTACCATAGATTGATTCCTGTAAGCAACGTTTCACTCTCACCCACGAAAGAAAAAGATGCCAACTATCATTGTTATTTAATTACTATAATTTTTTTTAAAAATTATAAAATTTAAAATTTAATAATTTTATTTTTAATTTTTTCACTTGTACTAGTTGAAAAAAAACACACACAATACACAAAAGGAAAAGATGGAGAGATCGATGTTTTAAATTTGGAGCCTCTCATAGAAAAATAATTTAAAGTGTGTGGTAATTATGCAATTTGATAGGAGAAGATGGGGCATGTGGGTCATTGGAGGGGTCCATGCTCCATGGTCCATTTTTGTTTTTACAGATTTAGGTCCTTTTCCACGGAAGTGTGTGTCTCATGAAGAAGTTGACCTTCTTTATTAAACTGTGATGATGTGAGGAAAGGTGATACGTATCCGTAGCAGCCGCAACTAGAGGCCCTAATTTATTGATAGTTGTCACATTAAGAAGTTCATTTCATGTATATCCAACGTATTTTTGCAGGGTAGCTTTGGGGACGATAACCCTTTTTTATTTATTTTTTTTTAGAGTATAATAAATATATTTTTTATAATTAATTTATATAAAAAAATTATAAAAATTAATTTTTTTAATTTTATTATCACGTAAATATTTTTAATTAATTAATTAAATTAAAATCAATATTTATGTTTTTCTTACAACTTAAGTACAAAATTAGGTAATAAATAACTTGTGCTATAAGAACACAAGATAACCAATGATTTGTTAGTTTGAGTAGAAGGAACCCGATTCTTTTTAAGCAAAATCTTGCATTTGAGTCTTATGAATAAAGAAATTGGTGTTTAGAAAGTTTTCCCCTCAATAAGGTTCGACCCGATTTAATTTTAAATTAGTCGATACTCAATAAAATTATCGGATACTGAAAAGTTAATACAAAAAAAAAGAGGTTAATACAAAAAAAAAAAAAAAAAGAGCACAAGATAGAAAAAGACCTTTTCCTTTTTTGTATAAATCTTGAGAGTAGGGAATTGAACTCAAGTTTAAGGGTTTGAATATTGAAATAATGCACCTTCAACTAATTCAAGGGTGATGATTTTTTTTTATCAATAATTTAAAGGTAAAGGCATACAAATAATTTATTTATATAATTTTTATTTACAACTTTTATATGTTATTAACTAATGGGTATGAGTTTGTCAGATTCTCCACCAAGTGCCTTGCGACCAATTCTTATAGGCTACCAAATGAGGGCTTCTTTCTTCCAGTTTTTAGTTTCTTTTTTGTTTTAATTTTTTTAGTGTATCAAAAAAGATAACTTTTATATGTTATTAAATAAATAATATATAATAAAACGAATTCAAATATTAAGTCTTAATAAAGTGAAAATAGTTTATTTTTAAATAAGATATAAAATTATTTTAAAATATTATATATAAAATTTATTTATAAATTATTTTTCTATTTTTGTGGATTCAAAAGGTGCATCCAGTTTGAAATGGGAATGATGAGGAATTTGAATATGAAAACTTCTTGGTGAAGGTTCTTCTCAAAATTAAAAGATGGGGTGGGAGGTGGGGCTTGGTAAAGGTCAATTTTGTATTATTGGGTATAGGAAAAGAAGCAAGGTGGCAGCAATTCAAATGTGACCATGTGATGTGTAGCACTACGCGGCGGAAGATGACAAAAGGGAAATTGGTCTGGAAGCAAATGACATGAGCTATGTACTGTTACTTACGTGCTACTCGTAGGTGATAGGCAAAAACTCCTAATCATTTTCCACCATCTAGAGTAGACAAGATCCTATATAACAGGGTGTTGTCCTTTTTGCTGTAGTTGTATTAATTTGGACCAACAGCAAGAACACATAGCCTATCAAAAATAGAAATAAACACATATAAGGCGCATTCAATACGAGATTACAAGAAGTCATGTATAGTTAATTATTTAAATAATTTAGTAATAATTTTATTATTAAAAAATATTTAAATTTAAATTGTATAATATTTGAATAAGATAAATTAAAATATCTAAAATAATTATATCTTATTATGTAATTTAAAAAAATTTATATCTTTAAATTCAATTGGTTTACTTTTATTATTAATGTCATAAATTAGTTTGTATGTATCAAATTAAATTATAAATTATATTTTGTCAAAAATAAACCATTCATGATAAAATTATTAACTTCACAAAATATTACTTTTCATAAACTCGCTAAAATCTTATATTTGTTTCAATAAAGAAATCCATATGGCTCATAAAAAAGAGAAAAAAAATGAAGAATTTTCTTTGGGTTTAGAGCCTTAGAGGTGACAAATGGCATTGATAGATGTATTACAATCTTCCCGCCAAGATAAAACCAACAGCCCACGCATTACATGTTTTGTTTGTGCTTTGATTTGGCGTATATTATATCATATTCATTGTAAGTTGTAAGTCTATTCATTGTAAGTTGTAACTAGACTTAAGCAGCAATCTTTGCAGTTAGGAATCTGAGATCTGGTCAACGGCTCCGACAACGACTCGTCTGTTTTAGCCGTGAAACCAAAGTCAAGTTACAGAAATGGCGGGAAAGTAACAAGGAGTGGGAGCTGTCATCTTCCAGGGAACTATTGGAGAAGACTCCATTTGATGTTTTCGCTGTTTGTTCCCACTTTTGGACTAAAACAACAAAAGGAAATTAATGTCTATTTAATATAATTTCGTCATATTTTGGCTACATTTGTTTTTTGCTCTTTGTTTTAGCATCTCTTCTTGAGGTAGGAATGCCTGTAATCAACAATTCTTTGAAATACTGCATTTGAAGTCAATTCGAGAAATGGGAAAACTTCCCAGATGTGCTGAACTTTATTACTTCACAACTAATGTCAATTATTAAAGGAACAGGGCTGCAAATAAAGGAGATTAGCTTTCATATATCAAAGACAGACGGTACATTAATCACAAAAGGAAACTGTAATCTACATAATAAAATAAGGGGGGAAAAAATAAACGTTTTCACTGCTTCACCTTTTCGGGTTTTCCCTCTTTGATTGCCTGCAGGGTGGGGGAGACAGGAGGAAGGAAAAATATGCACAAAAGGGAGAGCAAAATTAATCGTGCAGAACAAATCCACCCAAAAAATGTAAATTACACAGCTTAGAGCATCAAACGGATCTGAAAAGAACAATGCAGGATAATGCGCACACTTAAATCTTCATTATCCGCTGAAGGGCTCCACAAAAAATTTAGAAATGAAAATCCCTCCTTGCACTTCAAGAGAATAAAAATTTGGGTTTCCAAGTTCCAACTATTTAGTCATCCTTCTTGATGGTTACGAACTTCCTGGAAATATCAGATTTCAATTTGCACCCCCTGGAGAGAGCTCCCATCACAACAGCATCAATTGTTTGCTCGTTCTTTTCATATAGGTAGAAAGCTACAAAGATAACTGGTAGTCCTGCAGGGGAAGAAGAGGTCAAACCATCATAGACAGTGGCTTCAATGAGAAAAATGATAACAGAACTTTCCAAAAAGCAAGAGTTATGAAGGGAATATGTTATGAATAATCTGATCTGGTAACTTGAAATATCGAGACATTTTATGCTGGTACCTTTTAAAGCTTGAACATGCTCAAGGGCACATCTTTTTGAGGATTTAAGCATGTCAGTTCAAATACATTCATGCACATGTTGTCAATGAGAGAGAGTACGTACCTATAATAAATAAGCTCTGAAGTGATATGGCTCCAAGGAAGCTAAGAAGCATTAGGGAGAAAACAACCTGCTTCATTGTCAGAGCCAAAAAAGGAGTTTGACAAAATGAGTAAAAGTTCCATAATTAATTCACATGAGAGCTTCCACAACAAACTGCACTCAGGTGCCTATGATTAAGTACAGAGAATAAAGAATCCAAATTCAACAAATTGGACTAGGATGACCACACACTCATTAGTCCTTGAAGTATAAGTGCATATATATGGCAGCTTCAGGAACTCAAAATAACGAGCAGATGATGAGAGTGATTATACCTTCAGGAAAAGCATTGAGTCCTTCCCCTTGCAAAGAGATCTTAAAGCATTAACACCATAATTCCACAATGAAGCCACTGACATAGCAACTTGGTGTGATTTCTCTTCTGAAAACTGGAAATGTGAAGCAGGAATTTTTTCAACTGTATATCCCAATCTGCATCATTAGACAATTTAATTCATCAAAATGAGGTACAAATACTAAAAAACTATAAAAAGTGGTTACTTTTTAATGGAATTGTGAACTATAGGCTGTAGGCACAACACAGAAGTATTCTTTTATAGGATAAGACCAAGATTATGCTTTCTTCTTTCTCTTCAACATGCCCATGTTGTAAAATAACTAAATTAAACCTCTAAAATATATACACTCAATTCTATGAATTAATTATTAAATATAAAACAAGATGAAATGGAAATATATCTATTTAATCATCAATATTTTTGAAGTCTTGAATTACAGGATGCACTTGCTACAGTTTTGGAAATAATATTTTTGAATTGATAAAAGTAAAATTTGAGACCACTTAGAAACTGAACCTAAACTTTATCTATTTATTTTCATATGACTACAAACCAAAATAAGTAGGACTCAAACCCATTTCTTATAGATTGGGACATGCATGATGCACCTTAGTACCTTAAAACACAGGCTACAAGCCCAGATGCAGCAATCCTAAACTTTTAGGTCCAAAATGTACTGTTCCTAAGAATTTTAAATTGTAAAGAATGCAGGACTAATAAATTGACATGTCAAAGAAAATAAACCCACTTACATTTTATCAGGTAAACAGCCATGGATGAACAAGAAGATTGATGCCACCAAGAGAAGCTTTGAAAGTGCAGTAATGAGTGTAGAACCAGAAGCAATGAAGTTGTAGTAAATTGCAACCAAAACTAAAATCACAGTCAGAGTCTGCTTTCTATCCTTCCAGAGTAGGGTGTCAGCAACTGCAATGAGAAAAAAAAATGCTTGAAAAATGTGTGACCCACACCATGGACTGTCTCTTGAGTCTAGAGTGTTTAATAACAATAAAAATATCATTTTAACAAAATAAGTCTCAGACAAAATATTTGAAACTTTATGCTAAAAAACGTATCATTAGCTTTGCCATCTTTTATAGCCTATCTCTAACTCATATTGTTCATCATGAATCACGTCATGAGAGCAGATGAAATACCATAAAAGACAGGTTGCCTTAGTTTGAGAAAAGTTGGCAAAAATCTCAGCTAAATGAACTATTTAATTGCAATTAAAGATTTTAAGTTATAGAGCAAGCCTAATCAAGTTTCATGAATAATAATATAATTATCACATGGCATTTCCAGTTGTCTATACTTTTTCTACAGCTATAAGAGCAATCATAGTCACCGAACCAATGACAGTAGTGAGTCATAGTCACCGACCCAAGACAGTAGAGAGCCATGGTGGCCTACAATACTGAATATCATTCTATAGCATGCTGAGAAGGTACAATTGTAGCAGAAACAAAAACATATTTAGATAACAGCTGTAGCAAGAAAGATATAACTTTCACCTCTTCCACGTCCAAGAAATAGAGAAGCTTTAGATGGTCCTTCTCTCTTAGGTTGATTTTCAGCTCTCAAGTGTGAGTATGACTCAATGGTCCTTTTTATGCCTTCCTGCAGAGTTGTTAGATCAATTTTTCATAAATAAGGCATTGATACAATAAAGTGAAGTTTTTTTTTCAAAAAAAAAAGGTGTATGATCACAGGATGGACATCTGAATACAGAATGGGGTTCTGAAGCTTCCTAGGCATAGGCAAGTGAGAAGCACTCATCATTGTTTACTGATTAAAAGTTCTGTACATATTTACCAAGAACAAGTGTCTGACTCTGAATTTTGTTAAATTGATTTAATACTTCCACCATAGAACACAGTTCATCAGGGAATGGGGACATATTGGGGATACCTCCTTAACTTACAGTATAGAAGAAAATGAATGGAATATTCAGCATATTTTAATTTTACTTCATGAAATATGAATAAAATAACCAATTATTGTCAACATAATTAAATATAATAAAATCAGGATAGAACCTGAAGAGGCACAAGGGGTTCATATCCAAGACGTTCTTTCGCTTTTGTTGAATCAAAAGATCTGTTACCAGAAAGGAGTCTGATTCTTGAAGGTATCAACTGTGGAACCTTCATGCCATATGGGCCAAAAAGCCTATATGCCCACTCTATGACATGTGCAATTGGCATGACAACAATAGCAGGGATCTTTATTCTTGGCCTATACATCATGCAATTCAGAATAAGAAGACCATGAAGTGGACAGTTCCATAATAAAATAATAGAGGAACAGAAATTATGGCTTCATTATTAGATAAGAATACATTATATATGAAGATATTTGAAAAGAATAGCTAAAACGTAATTAAGGAGAAACATAGGAAATGCGCAAATACACATGGATGGAAAAAAATCAACATCGCATTCATATTGAAGAGAAGGGGAGAACGTGAACATAATTTCATCAGGAATGATGTAATCACACTCAGATTCTATTTACAGGGGTGGGGGTGGGAGGAAGCCACTATATCTGCTCAAAATGTAGGAAGAGAGGACAGAAAGTACCTCTCATAGCCAAGACCCTCAAGAATTTGTGAGACAAACTCCCAGAACTTGATAGGCTCCATATTGGTTACAAAATATGCCTGATAAAACAATGGTTAGCTGTTAACAAGGCATCTGTTTGAACTACAGAATGTCAAGATCTCCTTGTCTCTTGGTTTAAGCATATCTAAAGGATGGCACTACCTACCACATAAATTCCCCCCTGCCCCTTTTTTTTTTTTTTTTCCTTTGTGGGTGGAACTGGAAACTGGTTAGAGATTAAAACAAACTGAAAGCAAATTAAATAATACCTGTCCCGCAGCTTTCTCTGTTGTTTCCCCACCTGCAGCTAGAGCTCGTTCAGCACATATGTGAGCATGTGCCACATTTTCAACATAAGTGAAATCATATATGTTATTGCCATCACCAATTATGAACTGAACATTAAAACATGGAAGAATAAGAGAAGGAAAAGAAGAAGTTTGAAAAGAAATCTTGGTAAACAAGATGAACACGTAATAAAACAAAGTAAAAGGGAAAATAATAAAGGATTCTTTAAAAATGTGTCAATTAACCATACTTGAAGATCATATTGGATCTGAATGATAAAATGTTAAGAAGAATAATTGAAGAAAAGAAAGTTCAATAAAAACAAGAGAAATCTACCTTGGATTTTCCTGCCCTTGCAGCAGAAACCAGAGCTGGGACAAACAACCTATCACCAGGGCCAAAAATACCACTAGGACGTAAGCAACAAGTTAGAAGCCCACTGATACCATTTGATTTGATGACCAAACCTTCTCCTTCAGCTTTGGTTGTTGAATAAGAATCAATGTGCTGAAATAATTCATAATATTAAGTCAACCTACACGTCACTGATATTTGTAAATTGGAGAAAGGCTAGGACTCCATTCATATGAAATTATAAATCTAATAAGGAAAGGCTGACTTCAAGCAACATAAAAGCTTATGTTCAAAATCAATTGAATAGTAATTTCTGAAAGAAACAATCCTCATGCTCCAAGAGAAAAAAAGACTAGCAGTACTTCATTAGAATAGGCAAAATCGTACCTTTTCTGGATATGGCAAAGATTCATTCCCGTTAAAGATTCCATGAATTCCATCAAAGACGACGCTAGCAGAGCTAGTATAGATCAGCCTCTTTACTTTAAGCTCAACGCAAGCATCAATAACATTCTTTGTCCCTACCAATTACAGAGTGAAAATCAAACCAAAAGCTACTCTTAAGAACAAGTGTCACAGAAATTCAAAAGCCATCTGTAGATTCTGTACTGTACCTTCAACATTAACTGAGTGATGAAGTTGGAAATTATTGATGGAGGAATTTGGAGCAGCCATGTGGAATACTACTTCAGCTCCTTCAAATGCTGCACAATTATTTGAAAATTTTAGGTCAAATTCAACAAACAGAATAGAAATAGAGTGGATGATTCCAGAAATTCCGACCTTGAAGCACTTGACTCTTGTTGCGAAGATCAGCGGAGATGTACTGAGCACGGCCGGAGCGGAGAGCTTCTCCTAGGACTCCGTCCTCCTCTTGCGGCTCTAGTTCAATTTTGGCAGGCAAATCAGCAATCCGAACCGAGAATATCTCGTAGCGGAGCAACATTTCAACCAAATGCCGGGCGGCGAAGCCTCTTCCGCCCGTCACCACGCACCATTTCGACATGTTTCTCACTACAGTGACAACCGAGAGGAGGATCGATAGGATGAGTAGCTTTCTAGGCTGTCGAGTGATCTCGATCTAGATTGAAAGTGAAGAGTGTGTGAGTATCTGCGGCCGTAGCTGTTGCAGAAGCAGAGTTCTTTTATTTATTTATTTTTTTTATTTTTTACTATTTTCTGTTCGCAATTCACGAGACTAGAGATTCATTGAGAACTTGAGATTCGTTATTCGTCTTTCGATTTTAACTTCTTAAGGTTATAATGTTATATATATATATTTTTTATACTAATTTTTTTAATATTTTAATTTTAAATTAATTTAAAATCATATCAAATCAACTTTTATTTTTGATTCATAAAATTCAAAATCGAGAATTTATTTAATGAATTCAATTCTTTTTGGATCAATAATTTATTTTTATGTTATAATATTATATAAAATTATAAAATTATAATATATTATATTATTAAATAAATTTAATATAATATTAAATAAATAAATATAAATAATATTATAAATAAATCAAATTATACCATAAATAAATTTTTAAATAAAAATTTTAATTATATAATAATATATTATATTATATATTTATAATATCACAATATAATATCACATAATATTATATATACTAATTATAATATTTTTTTTAACCTTAAAAGGCACAGCAGCAGGCAGCAGTGGCCTGATTCTGTTGGATCAATGTCTACCTTTGGGCCATTGGGAAAACAATTTCCTTTAACAAAACTTAGCTTGGCTCGATCGATTATTGGGCCCACGGATTCAACCTGGGCAAATTTTTTTAGATTGTGTGTAAGCGCATGAACAACTATTTCTCTCGAGTGTGAATAGTGAAGACTGCATTAGAGCATATATAATGGAAACAATAAAAAAATTTATTTTAGTGTTTTATCATCCTAATTAATATTATTTTATATAAATTCATATTTTTATATATTTAATTTTTAAATAAAATACTTAACAAAACACATTCTCTATTATGCATATTCTTAAACAAAGCTTTTTTAAAAATTACACATCATATATATATACATATATATATTTTTATCTTAATTGCACAATGAAAAACAATCATCATTATCTCTTATTTCACCTCACTTGCATATCATACGACTCGAACTCAAGATTTCTTACTTTCGATGAAAATAAATAATCACTAAATTATTTAGATCGTTGACACAATAATTATACTTTATTCTCCCCACATTTAATATATATTTTAATAAAAATTTTGAATTTTTTTTTTTTTTAAATCTAAGCCGTTGCATTCAAAATCCAAAATGGCAT